GATTAAAATTAATAAGAGATTTATTTTATGGTTTGATCACTTGACTTGGGCTTCCCTGGTGGCTCAGATGTTAAAGCATCTGCCTGAAATGCAGGAGACCTGAGTTTGACCCCTGGGTCAGAAAGATCCCCTGGAGAAAGGAATGGCTACCCACTCCAGTGTTCTTGCCTGGAGAATCCCCATGGACAGAGGAGCCTGGTGGGCTACAGGTCCATGGGGCCACAAAGAGTTGGACACAACTGAAATTACTAACATCGATCACTTGAATAAGCATCATAAAATCATTTGATGATCAAAAATCATCAGTTTTTGTCTCACCCACTTGGTGGGTAAAACTAAACCAATCCCACCTTTCCTGGGAGAGTTGAGAGGTGAGCATTGTAAAGGATTTTTTTAAATGGGATGTAGTTGCTTTACAATGTTATGTCACTTTCTGCTGTACAATGAAATGAATCACCTACATGTGAGCATGTAGCACTTCCCTCTTGGCCCTCCCACCCGGCCCCCGCCCTGATCCCCAGGCCCATCCATCTAAGTCACCCAGAGCACCAAACTGGTCTTCCTGCGCTATACGGAGGTTCCCACTAGCTGTGTATTTCACACATGGTAGTGAATATATGTCAGTCCCCTCTCAGCTGACCACCCCCCACCTGCACATGTCCGTTCTCGACGTCTGCATCACTATTCTGCCCTGCAAGTAGGTTCATCTGTAAGAATTTTGAAACACAGAAAGACCAGAAATGCTATTGGTCACACTTCATTCTTGGCTTTTAAGGAAGTACAACGTTATTACAACCTCAAAACTCACAGACTGCTGATTATCCAGCTAAGCAAATAATAATTGCAAGGGAACCGTGGGTCAGATATCCTATTTAACACTTTATGTACATTATCTCAGTTAGTCCTTCCAATTGCTCTATAAGATTGACACCATTATTATCTTTATTTTATATAAAGGTGAGGGAGTCATTATGTACTTGCCAAAGTCCAAATAGCCAACACATGGAAAAGTTAGGACTGAAACCCAAAGGTTCTCACCCCATCACCTTAACCACAGTGTTTTTTTTAAGCATATGGCCTAAGGGAAGGTTCTAGAAAGGCGTGGATATGGAAAGGGACAGCCATGTCCTCCTGAGTCAAGGGGAAAACTTAAAAGACCTGATATTCTAATGGTGCAAAAGCCCTGTCCTCACCTCTGATGGCTCTCTGCAATTTATTCTGGCCTCATTTATTCTGAAATAACTGGATAGGAGACCCAGCTAACAGATAAATTAGAAATAGCTAATACAAATGTGTACCATTAATTTTATGACTGGTCAAATAAATGTAGCAGATTAACTGGAATTGGTCTTCCCTTTCCTGTAATATATGCACTGTTAAGTTTAGTGTTATCTGACATCTTTATTTCTTGATCTTCCTTGATGTATACCTGATGAAGTCAGAGTGATGTTTCTCATTTGACTAGGACAGTCAAATCCTAAGTTTCCTGCTAAAGGTTTTAGGATCCTTTCTTTATAAGCAGTCTTATTTCATAACAACAAAGGAGAAATTTTATTTGTAATGCGTGAATCATTTCTGAAGTGATTCAGAAATTCTGAGTTCTATTTTTATTTTCTTGCCATCTTCACCTGATACTTAGTTTTTCTATTTGAACTGGCACATCATATTTGTTTGAATACCAGTACTAGTACTTGAGTCTAAATTAATGTATTTCCTACATTGAGGTAGTGACTTTTTTGTTAACGATGGAATATATCAGAGGATTTTTTTCAATTTTTAAAAAAAAATTTATTGCAGTAGAGTTGATTTACCATGCTTTTGGTGTACAGCAGAGTGGTTCAGTTGTATATATATTTTTCAGAATTTTGCCGTTATAGGTTGAATATAGTTCCCTGTGCTATACAGTAGGTCCTTGTTGTTATCTGTTTTTTGAAACTTATTTTTAACTGAAGGATGATGGGTTTACAGTACTGCGTTGGTTTCTGCCATACATCAGCGTGAATCAGCCCTTGGTGTACACGTGTCCCTCCCTCTTGGACCTCCCTCCCACCCGCCCTCCTCCCCACCCCGCCAGGTTGTTAGCGGGCTCTCAAACCAGAGCCCTGGTTTGAGTTCCCTGAGTCACGCAGCAGATTCCCGTTGCTTGTTTTGCATATGCTGGTGGACACGTTTCCAGGCTACTTGCTGTCTTCGTCCCACCGTCACCTTCCCCCACCCACCCATGTCCATGAGTCTGTTCTCTATGTCTGCATCTCCATTGCTGCCCTGCAGACAGGTTCATTGGGACCATCTTTCTAGATTCCGTATATATGCATTAATATGCGATATTTGTTTCTCTCATTGATTTACTTCACTCTGTATAATAGGGTCTAGATTCATCCACCTCATTAGGACTGACTCAAATGCATTCATTTTTATGGTTGAATAATACTCCCTTGTATATATGTACCTCACCTTTTGATCTGTTCATTTGTTGATGGACATCTAGGTTGCTTCCATGTCCTAGCTAATGTAAATAGTGCTGCAATGAATATTGGAGTACATGGGTCTTTTCAATTTTGGTTTCCTCAGGGTATATGCCTAGTAGTGGGATTGCTGGGTCCTGTGGTAGTTTTATTCCTAGTCTTTTTTAAGGAATGTCCATACTGTCTTTGATAGTGGCTATATCAATTTACATTTCCCACCAACAGTGCAAGAGGGCTCCCTTTTTCTCCACACCCTCCTCAGCATTTATTGTTTGTGGGTTTTATCAAAGAGAATTTTTGCTAGGCCTTTTAGAGTTCTGCCTTGCTTGCCTTCTCAGTTTTATAAGTAGATGCAGAAAAAAATAAAATTATTAGCTAATATAAAGTGTGGTGAATTATCTAAAGACAATGGGGTTAAATGTTAAGTTTGGCTAGAAGTATTAATAGTGAAGTTTATGGAATATGTTATAACACTGAGTCTATTAAACTTTTATACTTTTTATGTTTTTCTTAATTGTTTTATGATAGTTTGATACTATTTTCCCTAAGTCATTTGCTTGTATTGTTTAATATAAAGGTAACTATTTTATGTACCTATATAAACTATATCATAAATATTATGGGTATGCTTATGTATGTATGTTGATATTATTAAACTATTTATATTTTTACACACACATACACATACATGTAAAGAATGAGGAAGACTCAAAGAAATCTTTAAAAATCCACTCCTTGATTTAGTCATGTTCTTACAGGAATTCACAATGATTCTAGAAAATGTTCTCTCCATTTTCTTCTTGCAAGCATCCAGCAGTGTTTAATCGTAGATTTTTGCCTTGACTCCTCAAAACAGATAAAATGGTTAGGTAAAATCTTATTAGCTTTAAGTTCCATTTAGTAAAGACCTTTTAAAATAGGCTATACATCAAAAAAATTAGTATGTTTCATTGGCATCAGAAGGGAACAATATAAATAGCACAAATAAAAAGCTTCTTTCCCATCCCCCAACTCCCTCTTCCTTTTCATAAGCATCAAGGTTGTCACTGATGCAATTGCTTTTCAGAAATTTTTTTTTGTAAATGATGAGAGAGGCAATTACAAGCAGTTCTCCTCCACAAGACACTGCCCGGAAGACGGGCAAATTGCATCCCTTGATGGATGCCAGCTATTATATACACTGGGTTGGAAATCTCCATATAGGGAAAGGAAAATGAACAGAGGGAAGACCGAACAAAAACATCAATAAATAGAAGTTTTGATGAAAAGAGAGGTGGTTAATTGCTGGCAGACTCAGATGTTGCAGAACGCCAAATACGATGAATTATCTGTGAACATATATATACTTTCACAAATTCATGCACATCATAATAACTTTTCTATGTAGAAAATGAAATTCGTGTATCTGAAGCTTAGCAAACTCAAGTCGTATGTGTTTTTTATTCAATATAGAATGTGGAAATGGGCCCCTTGGTGCCGGGGAAGAAACTTAGATGCCTCATGCTGCAGGTGTAGATATAGACAGCCTGTACTCCGTATGTTATGCTGTGGATTTAAAAAATCTGAAGTACATTGTCGGAATGAAATGAGAGGTTACGAGACAAGATCACTAACGTGCTTTTAAGTACACAGGAACTGCCTGCTGATGCTGTATGGTTTGAATTATGAGTCAGCACAGGACTTTGACTTTGGGTCCGTGTTTGAGAAGTGATGGGCAGGAGGAGGGGGCTTTAATTCCAAGGGCAGAAAGCACTGCCGTCAGAAGGCTGCCTGTCCCTCAGAAGATTGTTCCAGGGACTGTGTTATGGTAGGGGTCAGTCTAAGAAGTCCTATTCTGGTTTCTTTCTGTACTACTGTTAGGGAAAATATGCTAGATTTATGAAATATATGTAAGGTTAAAGTTAACTATTTTGTGACTGGTTTTTTTATGTGGGTAAATGTGCAATATAAAAGGCTACCAGAAAGATGAAGTTTCACTTGTCAAAGGTAAACATTAGTTTTTATTCTCATCCAAAATTTTATTTCTAATAATACAGCCACCACTAACTCTTAGCAAAGAGATAACCCATAGTAGGTCAACAATAAATATTTGTTTATCAACTCAAGGAATAAAACAGGTTGCTTTTCAAAGTTAAGAGTTGGTCAGCTTCTTGTCTTGTTTTCTCCAGCACTTAGCAAAGTATCTGATGGTTATAAAGTGTTGAATAGATGAATGAATGAATGTGAATGATACATAAAATTGCTAAGCTAAAAGAATAAAAGAGAAATTAATTTTAAATGCTAAGAGTCACTGTTTATGTGAAATGTTTTCTTAAAAAATATATTTTTCTATTGTTATGGGATTTTTCACTGTGGTTTAAGTCCAGGATTTTATTGTTTTAAAGTAGAGATGATTGCATAATTATTTCAGCCAGGAGACCCTAAGCAAGGTCTCATGGATTTGATTTTCATCAGAGACCTTCTAGGAAGGTCACCCTCTTCTGCGTGTATCAGGAGATCTATAATCGTGAGCTGCTCTGCTTTTTTCTTCCTCAGGTGTGGAATCCATAGCATGTTCCCCTTACATTTAGCTGCCCTCAATGCTCACTCTGACTGCTGCAGAAAGTTACTGTCCTCGGGTAAGTAACTCCATACCACAGATGACGCATAATGTGTCCTGTAAATGAGCCGTGTAGCTTCAGGTGTCTGGTCAGAGTGAGTGGCTGCCTGTGCTTCGTGTCATTCATGATCTGATTGGCAGGATGAGCTGTGTCCACAGCTACCTGCATGTGACAGCTTCCAGCAGTTCGTGGTGATGAAATTGTTTGAACGTCAGTATTCTGCCCTGGAGTGAGAGTCTTGTCTGTTTATCAAGTTAGAACTCCGGTGATCCAGAGTGGGAGGCAGGCAGGGATGGCCATAGCTTACAGGAAGTTTGTCGTAGGAGGAGAAGACATCTTTCAGGCTTAAATTGGTGATGTAACATTTCATATTCTTCAACAAAGAAAAAAGGCCAAATCCCCTACCTTTTAATAGTAGAAATGTTAAATTACCATCCCACTCCGTGGGCTCTGAAAAATCACTGTGGTTGATAACCCTCCAACTAGGTTTTATTTTTATTTTTTTAATGCGGGCCTATTTGGAACCAAGAAATTCTTTCTGGTTTGGAGCTTTGCTAATCTTTCTTAACAATGATTCTGCCAACCTCCATGTATTAAGAAGTTCCTGGCTTTCAAAGGTGATAGAGGTCTGCAAGGCAAAGATTGTTTATGAATTAATTCAACAGATGTCCCAGAGGCTTTTTTTCTTCCTTTAAGTTCTTTACTTACGGTTGATTCTGCTTTCACTGCTTTTGGCATGCTTAAAAATAACCCCTGCATGAAAGCACGTTTCCCAAATCTTACACCAACTGAAAGCTAATAATGCGCTTAAGAAAATACCTCTTCTAGCATGTTATGATTACTCCTGTGCCTCCCATGTTTTCTCCATGTGCTCTGTCTGCCTGTCTATTGCCCTACTTATCTCCAATTGGTTTCATAAATTTTTATCCTGGGATTGAAATATGGGGCTGCAGTTCACCCAGGGCTGAATGTGAAAATAAATTCTTCTTGACTTCACGGTTCTTCCTATAAAATTGCCAAGCTTGAGCAGTTACCATTCGTTTCCATGACAACCTCTTTCTGACTACAGTGGCTTGCGTCCTGGTTTTTCTACTAACTGATTTTTCTGTCTCTGCAATGTTTCTTGTGGTTTAACTAGGACAAAAGTATAGCATAGTATCCTTGTTTAGTAATGAGCACGTGCTGTCTGCAGGCTTTGAAATAGACACCCCAGATAAATTTGGAAGAACGTGCCTTCATGCTGCTGCTGCAGGAGGGTGAGTAGTTAGCAATTTTAGTTGTTTTCTCGTGGCCTAATTATGAGTGCATCTTAATTGACTTAAGTCGTCTGTGAATCAGAGGCAACTTCTCTAATAAAATGGGTAAGAAGTGTTTCTAACATTACCAAATATTATACGTTGAATTTCCAGGTTGCTCGTGTGTTTGTTTTTCCAAAGAAGCATCATTAACCCATCTCATATAGGAAATATTTTTTCTCTTGTTTTCTTCTCTCTCTCTCTCTCTCTCTTTTTCTTTCTTATTTTAGATTGTAGGTCTGTAGCCTACAGAATATGTACCTACTTGGTACCTCTTCCACCAAAAGAAAATAATTGAGATTTGTTCCTAAATTTTTTGTCTTTTGTTACTAGAAGGAGAGTTAATGATCAAGGAAATCCAAGGTTGAGTTAATTCATGTTTCTTTAAAGACATTTTAGTCCTATTTCAAAACTTAGTTTTAAGTTCTCATAATGATTAAATGTGAGCAAAAGTGAAGGAAACTCAAAGGATAAGCAAGAAGTAATTTAATCCTTGCCTATTTTTTTAAGTTGTAAAGAGAATTTTTCATGAGATACTCTTTTTCATATCAGTGGTTAGGTTAAGACTCTGATCAATACATTGTAGATATATGACCATGCATTGACCAAACATGGCTCCCCTCAGATGGCCTCGTTTGGGTAAGGTGTTGGTTCTTAATCATTTTCTTAGTCTTTAGGGAACAGCAGTGCTCCATGTATAATCTGTATATGACCAAAGGCATTACCTATTTAATAGAGGTGGATTGACTGTGAAGCTTTAGGGCCCCTTATTTGTACATGCCCCTTCCAAAGTTTTGTATTTAGTTTTATTTTCATAATTTTGGTATTTTTTTTTTAGAAAAAGAACCTCCTTCTCCTCACCCCATCCCCCCAAATCATATGAGCTTCCTGATCGATACAACATGGATCTGTCTGCCTTTGATCCTTTGGCTTGCTTCATTCAGGAAGAGATGGGTGTTTTATATCAGTTGACATGTTGTACCAACACATAATGCTCTCAGAAAGGTTTTCAGTTTTATGATTTAAGCAGTTAGTTCTCTGAGAAAGGTGACTATAAAGGGTGGATATGGGGCAGGGACAGCCCCGCTTATACTTAACCATTAATGAGATCATCTTTCTTATTTAAATGATAATAAAGTAGTAAATCCTAGGCCACTTCTTAGCATCCCAGGTTTGGAACAATGATAGATGAATGTCTCATTTTATGCCCCCATTTTGAAAAATATCAGACCTGTACAGAAAGTGGCAACAAACCATTCTGGATTCATGTCTGAAACTCCTATTAGGATTAATATTTAGCTCTATGCCCTTCAATAGGAAAATTCACTTCAATGGGTCCTTTTCTCTCTACTAAACATGATTTATTGCTTCTGCAAATGACAAAGAAGCTGGAAGATCACTACGCTCCATTACATCATTTTCGGCCTTGGTTCTACACATTCATTTACCTAGATTACCAAGACAGGGAAATGCAGCTGGTTTATTTTCCGTTAAGGAGAGTCTGGGTCGAAAATGGTTATAGTGAATTCATTCTGCTGTGATAAAAGGTAATGCTCATCCATTCTGGCTCATTGTTTAAAAGTGACATGAAATTATTAGAGGTTTAAGGAGTTGTTTCATAAACTCTTGATGGTTTTGAAAGAGACTTTTAGGATAAATGATGAAACCATCACTGAAAGGTTTCATCATGTAATAATCATTAAATTCTTTAGTCATGGAATTGAAAATGTCCCATCAAGTTCTTTAATGCATTGATATATTAGTTTTGAAAAAGGAATTGTAGGAACTTTAAGTCCTTATGATATGGCATTACTCTAATGTGTTAGGTTATTTTTGTGTTAGCAGAATTTAAAGTTAGTGTCCTCCTTTCATCTGTGCATACACTCTGCAGAAAAGAGCTCTTTCTGAAGACAGCCCAGCAATTGACCTCTACCATCTTAACAATGCTTTCCCTGTCTTTCTAGTAATGTGGAATGTATAAAACTCTTGCAAAGCAGTGGAGCAGATTTCCATAAAAAGGACAAGTGTGGGAGGTATGTAAACAGGGAGCTCTGCTTCAAGTGCCTAAATAAAAGGCGTGGGGAGCAGTCCGTCTGGAAATCGTGTTATGTTGAAATGGTAAACAGGGAAGCTAGCTGGGGAGATTCCATCCTCAGAAGGAAATCCCTTTTTATAGCAAAGCCAAACACCAGCAAAGCAGGCACAGGCCACAAGGAAAGGGTCTCCTTTCCCAGCTTCTGTTTAGAAGCGCCAATTGTTCTGCTCCTTCTAAATAACTATATCCATGTGGGAGATTGCATACTTTATAGATATTATATAAAAATATTTATGTATATAAAATATATAATCCTCCACATGGATATAGTTGAGAAAATTCTCTGTATAGCAAAGTAGAGCACTTTAGCCCTTTCAGGACAGAATTTGTTCACAAGATCTGGAGCTCTTTATTATATTTATTGAACATTTCATTTTGGGATAAATCTTGAGACACATTTTAAACATGAAATACACACACACACATACCACCCATAACCCCTCTGGTTATTGGGATGGTTTAGAACTTTTCTTGCTTGTCCTTTGCATAGCTAAGTCATGCTGCAGTACTAGCTGGTCCAGGGAACCAGTACCAGTAAACAACAGGAGGAAGGTAGAGGAAATGAGGACATGATCAAAAAAACCTCAGTTTAATCTGTTTGGAAACAGCATTTTGGGAAGAGAGATACTTTGTAAAGATAGACCAGGGGCAGCTTGGGAAGGTCTTCAATTTCAAACTAAAAAATCAAGGCTTTGTTCACTGGGAAGAACGGAAGGTTTTGATACAGGATTATATACGAAGGTATTGGACCTTAGAAAATCCAGTTCTTCATTCATGGCAGCTGAAAGTTACATGGAGGTTGGGTTAGGGCAAAGGAGGCCAGTCTGCATGGTATTGCAAGAGCCCAGACGAACAGTCATGAGCAGTCATGTAGATGGGAACCAGAACAGGCATTTGGGATGGAAAGAAAGGAGATCCACAAGTGAGTGGCCTGTTTGAAGCCACCATCTTTGCAGCCTTCGTTCTCACATATAAGATATGCTAGAGGAAGGCGTATCTCTTGGCCACCACACTCAGAACCAAAGATCTTTCCACACCCCTACAAATCCTGCTGTCTGTGCTGGTGCTGATTATGGGGATCTGTTTTTCAGACTGAATGATATAATAAATTGCTGTTTGCTTTTCAGGACTCCTCTGCACTATGCAGCTGCAAATTGTCATTTCCACTGTATTGAGACATTAGTGACCACAGGGGCCAGTGTGAATGAAACGGATGACTGGGGCCGCACCGCTTTGCACTATGCTGCTGCATCAGACGTGGATAGAAAGTAACAACAGCCTTGGCCTGTTTCTTCGGGGATGGGAAGAGGCGGGAGATGGGAGAGGGAGGGCTTGCTGAGTTTTCTTCATACTGCCTCACCAAGACTGTGAGTGAAGAATCGCTCTTATCTAGACTTGAGGGAGTTTGAGTTGGTTCCTCCATAACCCCGAGTTTCACATTCTGCTCTCTTTCCATTTGATTAGTACACGTCACTGCACAATTGCATCTCCTCTCTGTTCTGTGCATTGAATGCCAAGTGGAGCTGACAAGCTCAGGTTTCCAGTTCATTCAAATCTCGTAATTTATTTTGTCGTATACTGTGGTTTTCATCATCACCACTTACATGCTTCATTTGCTGTCAAACTTACATTTTCTAATAAATATGTCATATGTAAAAAAATATCCACCTGTGTATAATCCCAGTAGTCTTCAAATGCAGCATCAATATTTTATTTTTAAAAATAAGTGTTTAAAAAATAGACATTTTTCAAACCTGGGCATGAATCCTCTTTCGGAAGCTGGAAGACAGGAGATTGGTTGCCCTGATCATGTTTGGATTCTAGGTGGCTTGGAATGGAAAGCAAAAATAAATGAACCAGTTCTAGGGGAAAAGGTGGGAGAGATGCCCACAGCGTATGATATTGCTCTCAAAGACTTGAGGATCAGGCCCTCCTTCATAGGAATACTTTTTGGTGACCCTGTTCGGAGAACTGTTGAGTTATTTGGATGTATTGAGTTATATGGTCAGTGCTAACTCCCTTTCTTGTAGAGCAATGGCTTTTAAACATACTAGACAGTTACCTACACACTAGGCTTCCCCGGTGGATCAGAAGGTAAAGATAGAACCCACCTGCAATGCAGGAGACTGGGGGTCAGTCCCTGGATTGGGAAGATTCCATGGAGAAGGGAATGGCTACCCACTCCAATATTCTTGCCTGGGAAAACCCATGGATAGAGGACTCTGGTGGGCCGAAGTCCACAGGGTCACAAAGAATCAGACACAACTGAGTGACTGATGCTCACTTTACATCACGACCCAATATACAGACTCATGTATATATGTCTTATACATATGTATGGAAAATGGAAAGAAGATTTCATGAAACCTTATTTACTTTTGCTATGTATGATGCATTTTGATATCTTTTATTTCTTTAAAAAAACCTACTGACTTCAACCCACTAAACTGATTTCATAATTCAGTTATAGATCATGATCCATATTTCCAGTTTGGAAAACACTGCTTCTTTTTTTCCTTCATATGATACTGGCAAGTCTGATGTAGCCTCAGGGTCCCACAGCCACATGTTCTGAATTCAACAAACATTTATTGAGCATGCATTATGTGTCAGGCTCTGTGCTATTCACTTGGAATAGAATGGGGAATAAGCATCCTTCATCTGTTAAGATCTAGAATATGAATCCTAGATGGTGCAGAATTTCTCTGGTAGATGAGGGGTGCTTAGGAACCCATTCCTGGATAAATGAGATGCTCAACTGACAAGGAGGCAGCAAGGAATGTGGTAGGTGTCAGGGAATTTTGAGCTAAATCACTTTCTCTTTCCCTGGGGAGTTTAGAAAACTTACAGAAGAGTG